TTTAACGTCCTGACAGAGCAGATATACTTGATTGACTATAAAAATACAAGTTCATGTAATTTAAAATTTCAAATGTAAGATGAAGTATTTACTTACTTCCGTCGAAACAACTCCATGTACCATTTTGATCATTTTTCTCGATTCCAAACAATGTCATCATCGGTCCTCATAAAATGAGAACTGGTACCGGGCAAAATTGGACCGAAGTGTGTTTAATTATTTAAATGTATATTTATAGCATTATTTTGATTATTGTCTTCGCACTTTCACAACTTTTGCTAGTTCAGTGGAAGCCTGGAACCGGATCGTAATATGATTTAATGATTTAAATTGTACTACTATAGCTTATTTAAAATTTATTATTTATGTGATATGAAAATTGATAAATTGTGTGGATTTTTGGAGTATGATTAAAATTTAATTTCTCCTTAAACATTTAAAAAAAGCACCATTGTTTGGTATTGGAATAACACATATCATCCCATTTGAAAATGGAACTCTACCCACCCCTAAATATAAGTGGCTTCGCCTTCTCGTGATCCAATTTTTAATTCCACTGGACCCTGGAAAATATTGGCTGTGAAGAACAACCAAAGTTTGATGGTTTCCTCCTCAGGTGACATCTTGCTTTCTTTTATCTATCGCTTCTTCAAAGATATTTTCTCTACCTCTATTTGCTTCCTGTTGTTCTCATAAAAAAATGAGGAAAAAGAAAGACTAGAGAGAGTGACCCTTTTCATACTTCTGCTGCGGAATTTGTTTTTTCTAGTTTAAGACCGTTGGGAACTCTATGATGTTTGCTATATTTCTGATTTTATTACATTTACATGCTTATTGATTTACAAAAATGCTATTTGTACCCATTATAATACCCACCATATACCCACTATATATACTCCCAAAAATTAATTACTTCCTTTCACCTCTTTTACCCCCTCCCCATCTCTCCTCTCTCCCCCTTCCCTTCATCTACGCCTTTTCCTTCCCCCCTCCCTTCTTCTACGCCCCTTTTCCATCTTCTTTATTTTTTCTTCTTCTACAAAATCTTTTACTTCACCAACAACGATCAACTCAGGAAAATCATGAGAGTGTCTTTCTCTCACACATAATACAATCGTTTCAGCTCTAAAACTTTGAATGTTGAGGTAATAATTTACTTTAGTTTGTTTTGGCTTTTACGTTTATACTTTTTTCTTTTTCAGATTTTTATGTATCTTGTTATGCTGGAAGCAAATATTTTAGTATAACTTTGAATGTATGATTATTTTGTTTCAGACTTATGGATTGGTGATGCTAAATCTTGAAATTCCAGTTAAACTATTCTACTTTTTTTACTATGCACATGACATGTTTGTTTAAACGTTTCATTGAAATTTTAATGAATGTTTTTTGAAGTTGTTATTACAGTTGTAGTTGTTTTATATATGTTGTTTGTCATCATCAAATTGCATATTTTATTCATGTAAATTTCTAAGATGAACTTATTTTTTGGATTAGTTTGTAAACTGTAATGTATATTTATGGTTCAGAATTTATTTGAGGTAAAATGGGAGAATATGGGAAAGGAGAAGGTTACAACTTCTCACTGTGTGCTTATTTATATTGTTTGTGCTTGGTTAAAATATTGTCTATGTGTTCATTTATTATGTTTGTGCGTAGATAATATTTGTCTGTGTGTTCATTTATATGTAATGATGTTGATGCAATTTTTGTGTGTGAAATGATTAAAGTCAAGAATGTTTCTTAATGTTTGTCATGGAATTTAATTCCTTTTAGCAGGTGCTTAAGAAGCATGAATTTAAATGCTTTTAGCAGGTGTTTAACAACATGGCATGCTTGTGAGCTCTTACTAGGCAAATATGTCTATAAGGAAGTTTGTGCCAAAAGTTACAACCATGAGAAAGTAACAACACGATTTTGATACTGATTGTAGGAGGGGGTGGGATGTGAATTTTTTGCTTTGAAGGATGAAATAATGGGGTGAAGTAACAAGAGAAGGAGATAAAAGGGGGATGTGGTTGTTCAGGATGTAAAGCATTTTCAATTGAGGAACTGAAGACCCTAATTTAAGCTATGGAAAGTGAATTGGAAACCATTAAAGTGATTGTTCAATTGAAGTAAAATACAAGCTATTTGGCAAGAGAATGAGTTATGTATTTGTATTGATTTAATTGTTATTGACATGGTTAAAAAATGTAATAGGTAGAGTAATTGATGGATGCAACTGTTATTGTATATTAGTTATTGTTGTACTATGAAGTTCATGTACTGTTTGGTCAATGAAATTGAGGTACAGAATCAATTTTTATGGTTCAATGTTGTTTTTTGGCATTTGGTTTTTGTTTCTGATTTTTGTTGTGGCTATTATTGTGAATGAAATTGTTATAAGACTTTCTGAAATGGACATATTGATTGCTCAATAAGAGGAATGAAACCACTCATCATTGTGAAAAAATGGAATACACATTTGTCTTGTTTTTAAATAAAAGATGCAGGATCGAAAATGGTCTAAAAACAAAATGCAGTTCACATGATGAGTTTCAAATCTGTTACAAAACAGTTTTGAGTACTTTCATGCTCACCTAGCAGTCAACACTCACCCTCATTCATCCATTGTGACATACTACTCTTTTAGAAATAACTATTATAAAAAACCAGATCAGTTAAAATACAAAAAATGAGCTCAAACCATCCGAAATAATAAATTAATGAGCCTTTTTACATAAAAATATTCAGCTCTTAACTAATGAGCAGAAAATAACAAAACAGCCATTCCAAAATGACAAAACATTTCTTCCAAAAAAGCAAAACATCCCTTCCAAGATAAAGAACTACAAGCATGTCAAAATATCCATCTTGTTCTTCTTACACATAGTACATAATTATTTTTAACAGCTAGTAGGCTACTTAATTAATTTATTCTACTAATTCTTCATCTCTTGTTGTTGTATGGCTGATGCTTGTTGTACCTCTTCCACCTCGGTCACCCCTTCCACCTCTTCCACCTTTGCCATGTCCTCCAGCCCTAACAGATTGACCAAGAGTTGGACAAACTGTCTTGTTATGACCCTTTTGTTTACAAATTGAACATGTCATCACCCTACCCCTTTTAGATAATTTTCCCGTTGGAGGTTCAGTTTCTTTGTTTGCATTTAACTCCTGTGAATTGTGATGTGTATAGAGTATGTGAACATGAAAAACTAAAAAAAAAAAGAGTATGTGAACATGATTATGTGAGTAGTAATAAATAAAACAATCAAACACGTTATATATAGCAAGCATCCTAGCAAAGAACTAATATAATGATCTCTAGGAGTACTATGTAAGCAAAAACAAATAACTAGCAGTGCAATTAACAAGGACAACCAAACATTTAAGCATAATAAATATAACAACATTTTATTGCAACATTTTATCAAACACATTGTGGACAAGAAAAGAGAATGACCTCTAGAACATTAAGTGTTATGATGAACACCATATGTTCCAACAATGAAGCAAAATAGTTCAACAATATGCCATATAATATCAATAAAACATACAATTTCAATAATAAAAAAATTACAGGGGTTGTATTTGTCCAATACCCTTGCAAGAGATATATTTTCCAATTCACATCATCTCATTCTACATTTAATCAATTTGTAAAAAACTCAAGAAAAAAGAGTTAACTTTGAACCATCACAAGAAGAAGAGTTATTAGTTAACATTTCAGTCCATTCGAATAAGGGAAAACAAAACTAAGCGAAATACTAACATGGTCAGAACACAATAATCTAAACTGGAAAAAAAGAAATTTAATATCATCAATTAAATATAAAAGCACATTATACCACAAAAAAAGAATAAAAGAATGTTATCCATGATTGTCTCATTATTTTATATTCATGTTTCTAATATTCAACAAATATTCATTGCAACCTTTCCACAAACACTTAATGTGCAAGAAAATAGAATAGGATGCTTAAACTATAAACTCAGTAGTCAACTTGACCAATTCAAAATGAAAACAAGTAGGTAAATAAACAACTTCACAAACATAAATTAAGCATACAAATAGAATTAAAAAGCTAAATAAAAATCATAATAATAAAATAAAATAGTCCAAGAAATTAGCAAAAAAGGAAAATGAACTCACAAATTGCGGATATGAATGGAAAATTCACTGGGTCATTTCTACAAACATCTTTTGGACATAAAGTGAAAAAGAATAGTTTGAATTAAAACCTCAATAATAAGCATCACAACTCTATAACAATATACCAAGGTAATCAAGTATTCAACATTAGCATATACTCGTATTATATACATAAAATCGAAAAAAACAAATATAATCCTATAACACAATGAACAAGGTAGATAAAAATATAGGTTGAATTTTACATTGAAAACCTTGCTGCTCGTTGTAAAAAATGAATTAGATCAACAGTCTTCACTCTTCCGTCTGCACAGTTTGAGCTTGGGTTTGGAGGAGAAAAATGGGGAAGAGGGGAGGGAGAAGAACGTCGTAGAAGATGGGAGGGGGGAGACAGGAGAGAAAGGGCGTACAGAAAAGGTGGGGATAGAGGAGAGATGAGGGAAGGGGGTAAAGGGGTGAAAGGGTGTAATTATTTTTTGGGGTTTAAATAGTGGGTATAGGGTGGGTACTAATGTGTGTACAAAGAGCATTATTGATTAATTTATGAATAATGAATACAAATAATGACAAATAAATTAAGGAATTTTTTTTATGGATACTGATTACTGATATGCCGTATGTTGAGACACGGGGCATGTCTTAACACCGTACGTCCGTACTTAATAAATCATTGAAATAAAATCTATGGACATTAATATGACGTCCTTAATATGAATACCATAATCAACCATAGGGGTACATAGGGGCGGACCGTAGTACAGACTCAGGGGGTCAACCGCCCCCCAACAAAAAAAATTCTAGGGTATATTTATACGAAAAATAATTTTCACCCCCTAAAAAATAATTTTTGCCCCCCAAAAATATTTTGAACCCCCCAAGACGGATTTCCTGGGTCCGCCCCTGGGGTACACAAGTTGTACACAATTTGCACAAAATGTCGGTCACAGACAATTGATACGGAATTGTCTGTGGGCACAGACACGAATTGTCTGTGGGCACAGACACGAGTTGTCTGTGTCCACAGACATTTACTTTTTTGTAAAAAGTACACTGACAGCCGCCCGACACTGACACCAGTTTGCAAATCAATCAATATATGTGCACAGACAATTATTTGTCTGTGTGCACATACAATATTTACCTCACAGACAATAGTTGTGCGTTCTACTGTGTGATCAACTTTAATTGTCGGTGTGATGAATTTCAATTGTCTGGATGAACGAAAAATTTAATTATCTATATATATCCAAATGAATGATGTAGTTGTATGTGTGATCAATATACATTTAATTTGAAAAAAATTGAAAAATAATAAAAATAGATGAAATAAGATGAATAAGTTGATTTTGTGCAAATAATTAAAAAACAATTGATATAAAAAGGTAAAGAAAAAGAGGATGAAGAAGGGAAGCTGAAGATGAAGAAGAGAAGATGATCTCTCATTTTTTTGTGAGATATTCGAATGAGTTGGGTAAAGATGAAAGAGAGAAGGGGGAGGGGGGAAGAGAGAGTGGAGAGAGAGGGGAAAGAAGGAAATGAATTTTTTTGGGCCTTTTATATGGTGTACACTTTTTGTACACCATGTGTCCCTTTAGCATTTTCCATACCATAATACTCCGTCGGTGGAGGTAGGGATGGCAATTGTCTATTGTGACTGATAGAATGGATAGGCCACCCCAAACGGCACCCGTTGAAACGGGAAATACCGCATTGACTAGGTACATGAGGTTACAGTTTTATGCATTCAGTAATGGGGAAATACCGCATTGATTAGGTACATGAGGTTACAGTTTTATGCATTCATGGCTCATATAAGTAAATGGTTATCTGTGGTTATACTCATTACCTGTTGGGATGGTTACGATTTGATTAATAATTACCCATTCAGTAATGGGGGTTAGGAAGCGAGATATTACCCGGCGGTAGGGTTATATGCATAGCCGTCTAAAAGTATGAATGCGGATTCTTTATATGGGATGGAAGGAGTGCTGCATTCCCATGAGAATATAAGAACATTTTACCATTTTTTTTACTTATCCTACTATTGTCAGAATATACTTTGAATAAAGTTGCAGCAATTCAAGAAAGAACATTTGTAAGGACTAAGGAGACAATTGGTTTTATGTCACAAAGAAAGCTCTGTTGAAGAACTAAGTCAATCTTGCAGTCATAATTTTTTTTAATTCCAAGTCTTTCTTCTGTCTTAAGCTGTGAAGACATCACTAACAATGTTTAAATTTATTGGACTAGGCTAGATGGTAACCTTCTTTTCTGAACCAATGACAAAATCAAAATTCTGTCAAAAAGAAAAAGTACAGAAATGTAAGCATTATTGAAACTGTAATATAATAAGCTCCTCCTCTCAGAATCTGCCCCTCATTTCTTTCAGTATTACTTGACGATGAGTGCTATAAATTTTAAACTCATTATTACATATTAATACTCCAAACAGCTCCTTCACCTTCCCCGCATGAATGATGCACCTGTTTCATCCTTTCCACTGATTTACAAATCCCGCTGCATGACCAGTCAAATGATGCCACACACACATTCCCTGCCTTTGCTCTCCATTCACAGTCTGACATTTCATCTATTTATTCATTTATTTATTAATTATTTTCTGTTATAGTTTGAAATTTTAAATGGCTAAAAATCAGTATAGTAGTGGAGCTTTCTTTTAATACCTGGGGAAGTGCCACAACACATTGATCTTTCGTCCACATGCTCCACTTCCAAACCAATGAGCCATGCCCCTAAAGACACATCCTCATTGGCATATCTATGCAAGATTCCCCTATAGTATGCAGGTTAAAAAGGTAAGGTCTGGTATAGAGGGGTTTTCATGTTAATTAATACGGAGTAATTATTATTCCTTTTAAGTGACTTACGAGTTTATGGATATGTAGGCAGCAAGGTCCTTGGAGATGGCATATATCTGGCCAGTGGCATGCCTGAAATACTTATTCCCTTCTTCTCCGAATTTCCAAAACTCAGGTTCGTGATACTTCACTCCTCTACAATTAAGATTGCATTTATCTAGAGTCACTTGAGTAAATAATATAGGGATGACAATGCACCAGGTTTGGGATGTAAATGTTAAAACTTTTGAAATACACAATGTACTCATAATTATTATTTGAATAAAAGTTATATGGAGTATTATATACCCCATACTTTTTCATATTATTCATAAGATTTCCATTTTTTCCAGTATATCATGTATTACTTTCTAATATTTAAATAACTCTTGATTGTTGTATTACTTGTATGCAAGTCTATGCACACTCTTATTAATTATAAACAATACTCTGTACATTTCAAACATACACAGCGGGTCGGGTGGATGCCGTGGGTGGGAGGAAAGTGGATGCATTCTTAGAACCAGAGCCCAACCTGTCACCACTCACCACTTTGGGTTGATGAAAGTGGTTTCTGATATGTTTAAGGTACACACACATGTAGATAGATGGATGTATGGATGGATGGATGGATAGATAGAGAGAGGGGGGGGGGGGGAGAAGGGTGTGTGATACTTGACTTACTTCCGGGAAAGAACTGGTCCCGATTTCATGCAGCCGATGTAGACTCTAGGCTTTGACCTGTGCCTTGCTAGAGTGGTGGCTAGTGTTCCCAGATTGAGATGGACATCATCATCGACCTTCACATAGAACTCTGCATCCCAGATGGAGAAAGCAGTGGAGAAATATATGCGCGTCTTTGTGGAGAGCTCGTGATATCCTTCCACATGATTAAGCCTTAGGAAGTCTTTATATTCAGCTTCCTCATCATCAATTGCTCTATCAAGAACTCCTCCTGGGGTGGCACTGTGTCCTATCACGAACCGTAAGATTATCCCCTTCTCTTTTTCTACTTTCTTTAGCTCATCTCCTGTATGTGTATATAGCATTACTTAGACATATGCCAGATCATCTATGGCAAATGTTTTGTACTCCAACTGACCCAGATAATTGGTGTTTCAGAAAATCGGACACGTATCAATTAAGGCACCCTACAAACTTACCCTTCTTCACTTGTTTAAGTTTTCATAATAAATGCATTTTATGCGTTCTCAAGGTACAAACCCATTTATATGTAGGGAGAGTTGACATGGCCAGATTTGGAGGTTAGTACAACTAATATGCATTGAATACCTAAAACTATAATATTATTGGGTAACATAATATGTATGCATGTATGTATAAATGGGCAGGGCGTGTGTGTGCTAAATGGCAACTAGTTTGGGATGGAAGTAGGAGAAAGACGGACCTTTGGGCATCCATGTTTCACGGAGAGAGTCACGCCTTTTTCGGCTGCTAAATGCTGTGTTGATTCCTATGACAACAAATGCCTTTTTAAGGCTATCAGATCCTTCTGCTGTTGTCTTGCTTCCACTTCTACTCGTTCTTGAGACAGCTAGCTCCATCTCTAATGCTGATATTGTTTTCTCAAGTGACCTACTTGAGGAGAAAAAAGTGAAAAATTATATAACCAGCATTTAACTCTAGCATTTAACTCTAGCATCAATGTCTAGACGTGCTCTCTTACTGGATAGCTACATGAGTCTTCTTCACTTCTCCCATGATATCTCTTGTATTTGTTTCCACCAGTTTCTGATTAAACAATTTTTTTATTAGGTGCTTCTCAGTAGGAATTAAAACAAGACACAAAAAGTATGTTTACATCACAGAGAAGGCCAGGGAAGCGGAAAACAAAGTACTTCAAAAAATATTTTGCATGCCCCATAGGAAAGTTTAAAGGAAAAAGAGATGTTTTTTGTTAAAAAGATGTTTCATATATATACATGCATATATATATATGCATGCGTGTTCATATTTGTGTCCGTGTGTATGTGTGTACAAGAAGTGTTCTCAATAAGGCCGGCCAACAGAAATCCCGTCAGGCCAATTTCCTTTTTCAAACATGAAGTCAATGATCCATTTTTATGTTAAGTAGTATTAGTATTTACTATTAGTTTCAACTGTAGATCGTCAAAAAATGTTGAGTTTTATTCAATTTATAATGATAAGTTAATCTTAACCGTAAGATAAGTATTAAAGTTGAAAAAGTGAATTTGTAGTGTCTACCTTCAATAGTGAATTTATGATCTAGCAGTTGGCACTAATAGTTAATACTGTTAAGTAAAAAAGTTGAGTCATTAAGTAAGTAAGTAAGTAAGTAAATAAATAAATAAATAAATAAATAAATAAAGTTGAATCATTGAATATATGACATTTTTAGCTCTTGAAATAACAATGTCATATATTTTCAAAATTTAGGTCTTGATATAAATAAATAAAGAAATGAATGAATAATAAATATTTAAGTAAATTAATAAATAAGTAAATAAGTATTTAAGTAAGTTCGTAAATAAATAAATAAATAAATAAATAAATAAATAAATAAATAAATAAATAAATAAATAAATAAATAAATAAATAAATAAATAAATAAATAAATAAATAAATAAATAAATAAATAAATAAATAAATAAATAAATAAATAAATAAATAAATAAATAAATAAATAAATAAGTAAGCAAGCAAACAAACAAACAAACAATTAAATAAATAAATAAATAAATAAATAAATAAAACGAGTTAGAAGTTGGGGCGTATATCTAAAATAAATTTATTGAGTGTATCCATCCTTTATTTTGCCAAATTTTCCTTCTTTTCCATTTTCTTTCCTTGTATTTCCGGGTTCCAACTGACCCAAAAAAGTGCAAAGTTAATTTTTATCTTTTCAAAGCTTACGCGCTTGTGGTCACAGTCATGGTTGACACCTCTGCCATCTGATGTAATGTCTGGATGCAGATTCCATGTCCGGCTACTGAACAGTGATCCAGCTAGGAAGGTTGCCACACACAGTACAAATATGGCTTTCCCGGAAACTGCTTTCCCTCTCATTTTCGAAGTCTCGCTACTGAGCTGCCTCGGCCACGCAGTCAGCTGTAGTCCAGGTACTACTAGCTTCCTGTGCACCTGCAGCCACCTATAATGCACTATTTGGAGGATATTAAACCCTGTAGAATATGTTTGGTTCATGTGAAAGGAAAGAAGAGATGGAAGGGGGGGAAGATAAGTGAGAAAGGGGAGGTGGTATATTGTATGATGTAGGTATTGAGAAGAGTGAGGAGTTAGGCTCAATGTATATTGTGTGCTGAGAAGTGGAGCCTCTTCTTTCTCTCATTTCCTTCTCATGTTTGGGAAGGTAAAAAGTATATGATAAGGTTGAGGGGAGATTATACTTCAGCTTCATTATCTTTTCATTTTCTTTCAGTTTCCATTTTCTCTCCCCTTCCAATCAGGAGATAACTAATACCTACTGCTCATACCAATTTATTTCCTCTCATTACCCGTTTTCCATATTAAAAAAGAATGGGATCTAGAACAATGGTGATACATTTTCAAATTTGCATGAGATGGAAAAATATGTGTGTGAAAATAAGGAATCATTTTCTTGATTTCATACTACACCATAAATATGATATAATGATGACGTTTTTGGAATTTTCTCTACTATATCTTTTGCACGAATTTATAGTATAAACTGATCTATACAAAAAGTAGTCAATGATATGACAGGGGTTTTGGAATTTCTCTCATTGATCTTTGTTGAAGTCTGCCACAGGAAGGACGCACAGTGTAATGTTTTGCCACTGAACGTTTTTGCTTGAGTTTATAGTGTTGATATATTTTAGAAAATTCCTTGAGACTATTTATTTAGATCATCATTCATGAACTGTTTTCCATACCTATATACAAAAATACCATTCTATTCCATCTAGTATTCCAAGGGTTAGAACATAGAATGCCATCATGTCTACCTAATAATTCTGCCTCACTCTTCATAATGAACATTTAAATACAGGTATTGATAATTCTACAATCTGAATACCAGATGAAGTGCAATTTTGAAGATCACAACATAGCAGGGATGAGGGTGATGGTACTACTATCACTACTACTACAATCAGTCACATAAGAAGAAACTGCAGTTCTATAATGAGCCTAAGAAGTGACATCTGGAAATTTGATTCATACTCTAGTCAAGGATTTTATGCATGACACTGTTAGGGAAAATACAACCTTAAGCAGTTGGTAACAAACCTGTTAATGAGAGGAGTGGCAATCATGGGAGCCGAACCTTTTATTATTGAATTATTAATTCAATGGCCATGAAGATATCAACACTCATATCAGTGGCCTATTTAAGTTGGCACCCATTGGTTCGGACTAATTAGATGAGAGGGTTGAGTTTGCAAGTTGTGGTAGTTTAGTCATGTGTGTTTCATGTTTCAACTGACCAAATGAAAGACAAGTCTCTTCTGTCTCTTTTAACTTAAGAGTTTTTGCACGTAATGCCAGTTCTGTCTTCTGTTGGTTTCCTCAATGTTTCTGTAACTATTTTCTGTAATGATATCAATGAATTCATTGTTGGGACATTGTTTTCCGTGGACATTGGCCGCCATTTCCGCTGTTTATCTGCCTTGGTTTCAGGCTTCAGCTCAGTTCTTGAAGAAAAAAGATGGAAATTTAATTTAAATTTCAGATGTATTTTTCGATTTGAAATATGACATGAAATTCATGTGCTAATATTTAACATCAGGAAACAGTGACTTGCGCTTTCAAGTAGTTAACAAGCTCAAATTAACATCAGGAAATAGTGAATTCTACTCTCAACTCTCAAGTAGCTAATAAACTCCTCCGTTTGTCATCCTTAGGGTGCTGGTTTCTTCTTCTTGTGCTTCTTTTCTGCGTCCAAAAGAGAGAAAATTGGTATAATGCCATTAGGTAATGGAAATGGTGAAAATGTGATGCAAGTATGTGTGCTAGCAGCATCGTGCTTTGCTAAGCAAACAAGTAAATAAAATCCCAAGTTCTGTCCATCATGCATAACATGTTTGGGACATGATTTTGGATGTCATTAGTGAAAAATTCACAAGGAAAGAGTTGACCCCAAGCCCCAAGGAAATCTGTACATGTTCATACAATCCTTGGGGTGTGTGTATTTCAGTATTTGCGTCACACTTGTTCATAGATTACGTTATCACATACCTTAGGGCCCAGAGAGACCACCCAATCTCGGAAGCCCAACATACCCAGCTATCGAGATTGAAACACTCAAACGATTCCGAGGTCAGTGATTGGGACCCGTGGGGAAAGGATGGGGCGGGGGCGGGGATGGGTGAGATATTTATACCCCGCTAAAATATGGGCGGGGGATGGGAGTTACTACACCCGCCCTGTCCCCGCTATAAATATACATACATACATCTCTATATGCATATATTAACAATGTATAAACATATTCAATTAAATTATATGTAGTATATAACAAAGACATGCATATACATATAGAAATACATACATCTATGTGTACTAGTCGTGATTAATGAACTAATATTACATACATATTATATCAGAATAATAATAAGTAATGACTAAAAATATTTATCTTAAAAGATATATGAGTTTTAAAAGTGAGAAACCTAGTAAATGGAACACACACACACATATATGCATAATACATATAACTAATTGTATTATAATTAATAAGAAATTTGGAACAACATACATGATGGTATTATGTCTACTTTTATTTTTAGTTTTATTATATTCAATAGAATTTATGGATATTGAATAATTATTAAAAATTGGCGGTATTATCTTTTACTAAACACAATATTAACTAGTTTAACTCTTTTACTGTTATATATATTTATGTATCTATAAAATGGTTAAAAAATATGCAAATAAGATAATTGAAATCTATAGGGGAGCACCTGCAGGCCCCTGTGAAGGACAACGAGGTGGGGCAGGGATGCGGCGGGTCTGAGAGTAATGGGGGATGGTTTTTTTAGACATGGGGCAGATATAAGGGAGTGAATCACCGTCCCAAACCCACTCGATTGCCATCCCTAGGTACGAGCACATGTGAATCATTCCTAGCTTGTATTTTTGCGAGATTGAAGCATGTTAAAATTTGTTTATTGAATATTTATTAGTTTGGTACTCTGTATTATAGTTTTATTTGTTAGAATTTAAATGATAGGACATGATAATGACCAAAATACTTTTATTTGTTAATAGTTAAACGGTAACATACCAGAGTTGCACCAATATGATAATATCGGTTCTTATATCATTTTTCAAAAAAAAAAAAAATCTAGAATCAGGTTGACAATATTGAATGGAAAAATTCAAATTTTGGTCATACAAGTATTGCACCAATTCCACAATTTATTCATGTTTTTTACTTTGATCACTTTTGATACTTGACTATTGTATTTTCACCCATATATGATCCTTCCGACAATGATTCCTATGGTTCAAATCGCCGTACAAGGACCACAAATGCATGGTCAAGAAACATTAAGCAAGTAACAAAAAAAGGTAAAGTGAAAGATGTGAATCAAATATGAAATTGACATATAATGTGTAGGATCAAAAGTGAAATTTATTCATATTGAATTAACGGTTCTTCAAATGGTTCCTAATTGTCTTTGAAAGAATGGAACCAATCACAACCCTACCTTTCTTCTTAACTGTGATAAGTAAAAAACCACTTTGTGATTGTTATTAAAGTTTATCTTGTGTATATGTATTAATGTAGAATCCCCTTGTTTAGATTTTATTTATCGTAAAAAGATAAAAATTAGTTGAGGTTTAAATTTTCTAATCTTGCATATCGAGACCATCATCGTAGCAACCTCTTGACCGGGTACTAGTTTAGGATGGGTTGGTTGATTCGTGATTCTGAACAAATAATTAGCTAATTCGGATTTGATACTAGAACTGGATCTGTGCGTACATGTAATGAGTAAAAGACATAAGAGAACCCTTCAGAAAATTTTTAGGATCACAAGAGACAATTGTAGATAATTGTGGCATTAACAATGGGTTAAAAGTCCACATGATCCGTGAATTTAAATCTATAAGAATGGATGAATATGTGAATACACAATCAATTTTTTGGCCGAAGAAAACTTATAGTAATCTTGAAAAAATCACCCTCCCAACAACACCGGAAATCCAATTCCCCTCTCTAAACTCCTTAAAGCCAATTGATCCCCTCACTCACTGATTGGACATAGTGTAGTCCACCACAAACAAAGAGAGACTAATCGTTGAACATGTGATAGCTTTGAAGCTATTAGCGGCCAAAACAGTCTGATTGCTTCCCAACAAAAAACTATGTAACAAATAAACAAAAACAAAAAAACTTACCACCCATACAGTTCAAAACGACCAATACAACCATGTATGTAAAAAACAATCTTAAACGAAGTAATCAGAAATAAATAAAATTAAATTGATGGAGCCCCCCCGCTTCAATCTCCTCCTGGTAAGCCTCCATGATCCTCAGTTGTGTGACAAGTGAGCCATAGAGCTGCAGCTCGTCTCCTTCTCATTTTATGACTACACCTTCATGCCAATGCAAAATGGTTCCTCCTCCTCCTGCGCTTTTGCTCCGTATTACCCATGCATCAACCTGTTCCTTTTCCTCAATAGAGCCACCTTGACCTTCAGGAAGTGATGTAGTTGTTATCCACTTATCCCTACATTATCCTCAGTTCGTTCTTTCCCAACTAAAACTAGCCACTTATTTTCTCCCACTTGTGTTCTCCCTTTTATAGCCCTAAGTCATGGTCCAAAAGGATTCCCCCAACTCTTCACACATTTCTCAAAATTGCGAGGGAAGTATCTCTCAGCATGCCCAATGATTGAACACAAGAAACAAAAACTAGGCAATTTCTCATATCAAAAAGTAACAAAAAAAATATTCCTTCGTCTTTTTTTCAAAAACAGCTTTCTTTTCAAAGGTTTGTCGAAATCTAGACACTCTTATTCTCATG